CATTTTGGTTAAATTATCAAAGTAATACCACTAAATCATTTTCAAACTGTTGCCAAGACGAGACCATATGACTCGCACTGTCAAAAAGTTATCAGTACCCCTAGCACGAACCATTATCGAATTCGAATAGTTTGCCAACCGAAATGTCAATGTCAAATTTTGTATGGAAACTTGAACAGCAGCGCCACTTTGGACGTAACAGGAACTAAAAATCAGTACACATTTGACAATGACATTTCGGACTCGCAAACGTTACGAATTCGATTTTGGTTCGTGCTAGGGGTACAGATCTCATGAAGAGCCAAGCTTCTAACTCTACACGCCCTAACTCTATAAAGTCTAATTTCACAAACTCTACACCTTAGTCAAAATAATTGGCTAGTAACGGAACGGCCAAGTCACATATTTTGACTAAAATGTAGAGTTTATGAAGGCCTTGTTGAGTTAGGGCGTGTAGAGTTTTCGGTTTTCTATGAATTAGGAAATACCCCAAGAATTTTGATGGTCAGTGACGAAATCAGGGATTTTTAGATATCATTATATCATAATATCTAAATTTATGCAATAAAACATTATATATGTTAAATAAGTCCGCTTTTGGTAACATATCCCGAGATTTTTTTATCTAGTACAATCCGTACCGTTACCAAAAATACGACGTAGCGCTTTGAGATTTTTTTTTATTTTTTTTTTATTATTAATATATTAGTTTTTTTTATATTTTTTTCGATTATGTTGTTGTTTTTTTTTGTATTATTAGCGACGCTACGACTGCCTACCTTATATTTTTATATATAACGCTTCATACCCGTTAAAAAGTCTTTGAATAACAGAAGTACATTTAAACATATATAGCAGATAAAATTTATTTTTGTAACGTTATCATAATTTTGTATTTTTTACCCAGAAAGCTTAGACGAATCAACCAGAACGATGAGAGGATATACTTCATAGTTCTGAGAACTAGGTACACTACTGAACTAGGTAAGTAATTACCTGCTGTGTTTCATATTAGAAAATTCTCTCGCCCATATGGTTGCAGTATTTTATTTAATATTTATGGTTCAACTAAAAGCTTGCAGAACTAATTTTCTAGCGGTGCGTACCTAGCTCCTAGGCATCCATTACTTGGTGCTTTAGTGAGCTGTGGAATATGGAAACTAATAAAGTTTGCATCAAACTTTTAATCAGAAGGATTTAGTCCTCCTTATTGTAGCGTACAAGTTATAAAAGCCAACTCATAGTAATCACACAAAGGATAGATAAACTATATTAACAAGAATTTAAACCCAAGATGTTAAAAAATGTCTATACATACACAAATAAATAAACTACATTGTTTTACCAGCTGATAATGGACGCCAGCAGACTACCTAAACTTCTGATTTATCTTTAAAAAAATGCGTAACTCGTAAGTTTCAAGCTTAACACCCATGCCGAAAATTTAATTGAAAGTTATAAGCTTTTAAACAGAACGAGACCCTCGCTTCTTTGCTTTCTGCTAATTTATCAAATCGTAATTAGGCCTACTGAAAATGCTGAAATAATTTAGTTTAGTTAAGAAACAAAACTTTCCATAGCATGTTTTTTTAATTTGACTTCGTATTGGTCGCCTAATCTCATTTAATTATCCCGTCGGCTGTTCGCGTACTCAGCTGTCTGTCTGTATAATTAAATGAAATCATTTAAACTCAAAGGCGCTAAGCAACGCTGCGCTGGTGATGTCAAGTAGGTAAGTAAATGTACATCCAATTCACAACGACATTTTCCTTGTTTTCGATTTTAATGGAATTAAAATTTGTCGTTTTCATTCACGAGGGTTGATGACGGGGAACAGTAAACGAAATTCTATTGAGTCCGTCAGTTAGACGATCAAAAAATAATGTACACGTATTTTTTCTTTGGGCAATCAACCAAAAAATTATAGCGCGTCAAAGTTTGGAAGTAGGGGCTCGTGACGTTATTTTGTACCAAAACTTAGTATAAAAAAATGTACCGAAACGTGACGTCATGCGACTTTTCAAATCAATATAATATCTCTGCAATGTTTATATTATGTGAAAAAAGAAAAAAATCATCATCCCTATTATTCTTATTATGGCTCAACGAGAAAGGACAACGACTTGATTATCTGTAGTAGTGCATAAATGAAGATTCTTTTTCTTGCTTTTGGTAAACATACAGGTTACTAATTGTTATAACTGAAAATAAGAATTGAAATAAGGTAAAAAATAAATAAATAATACTTAAAAAAGATACAAAGATGCTATCGTAACTATTTCACAGGAACTGTGTTACTGGCAATTTTTTTTGTGTTATGGTTCATACTTGCTTGATATTTTTCTTACAACGAGATATTTTACATTAAATTGACATAATATGTAAGATCCTGCGCTTCAGGTAGGTAAGATGTGTTCATCTCATGAATTATACTTGAACTAACCAACTGCGTCAAATAGATTACGTGATGGTTAGTTTATATAGTCGTTAGCAATGATCTTACAAACGCATGTATTTTTACGTATAATACTCATACCACCGCAGGAAACAAAAAAAATGTGTACTATTAATTAATAACATATAATATTGTAATGCTAGCTAATTTATACGTTTGTAATATTTTTATTAATGCAATGTTGAACTAAACTTATAAATAAGGTTTCAGGAAATATCCTGAAAATTAACCCGTGATCCTTAATGTCGCTGTCTATGGTCTATATGTATAATGAAAGATAATTACATTTTATTTAATAATATCCAACATTTCTAATATAGCCTAAACTTTATTTTCGGATTGTAAAAAAGGAAGATCAAACAAAAACCGCGAAGGCATGAGAAGCGTACTCTCGCAGTTCGTTGATATATATTTCTGATGCGTTCTTATATCAAAATCTATCTCCCAAAAGTTACTTTTCTATAATGTTATCCTACCCCAAACAGCCTCAACCCTTATAATTGTTGCCTATAAATGGCAGTTTAACCTACTAGATATAATACAATTAGTTTAAACATACGAGTACAATAAAATCGTTACATAAATGTAAAATTGACACTGTTTATGTAGTACAGAGTTACTTTATTTTCGTTAACATTTGCTGATTTATTCTATTGAACTATTGCCAACTATATGAAGGTTTCATATGCAAAACTTTCTGAGCTGTAAATAAGTTACTTTCAAGATAAGTTAAAGTTTGAAAACTGCTTAGCGTTATTCAGCTCGCGTAAAGTTACACACGTGATACAAATATAAAAGAGCATATAGGTATGCAAATGGTAGATGGGGCACTATATGTGTTTGATATAATACGTTTATGAGCTAAGTTAGTAGAAGTTAACCGAATATTTAAGTTTACCTACCTACTTTTACGAAGCTTTTGGTTTAACTCCTTCTTTACCCGTTGTCCACCTAACAAATTCATCTGGGTGACCTAAGGGGATTTATAGAATTGATAACATCTTAAATTTTCAAGATATTTGAGATAATATCCAGGTTAGTAGGTAAAATTTTGTAATACCTATGGTAGATCTTCCCAGTACCGCACATTTGATGGTATTACCTACATTAAATACATGACAATAAAGGATATAAATTATAGTTTGATGACATGATGATATGTTACTTTCAATGCGAAACCATATTGGCTGTACGTCTAAAAGCGTTTGGTCCAACGCATGCGGGCGGGCACTTCCGCTAGTTTCCACAAATCTTCGCGCGTTCCGTTTTTGGCGGGAACAGAATGTGGCCATTCTATTTCTCGACGGCTCGCCTAGCGAGCGACATCACACTAATGAGTACGTAAATATCTCGTCATTACGGCTACCAGGTTCATCGCTTTGCCTGTTCCAGTCTACCTATATGAATAGTGAATGAAGACTGATGCTTTACTTAAGATTAAGATCAATTTCGCCTGTATAAGCCAGTAGATTAGTTTTGACTTTAATTTTAGATATGGCAATATTATTTTACCTGTTTTTATTGTATATGTAAATTTTATTCTATAGTCTGTTTTTTAATTTAGAGACAAAAATGACACATGCAAATATCAAGTTTGCAAATACCACCTTCTATTATGTATCGTTATACCCGCGATATCGGTTGTTTAAGTTTTTTTACTTATCTTTTTTATTTATTTTTTAGTTTTTTTATCATTTTGTTGTCCGTCCATCCGTCCGTCCGTCTGTCAAGACCGTTTTTCTCAGGAACGCGTGGAGGTATCAAACTGAAATTCATATCTAATACTCAGCATACTAATACTCATCTATATTTTTTTTTAAGTCATCGTCAGCGATAATTCCCGCTCGTCACGCTCGGCTTTATCCCCTTCGGTAACGAGTGGTAATTTTTCGCACAAAATATCCCATACGTCACCGGGGGTGACAAACCCGTATCTGGAAACTGATTAATTGATTTTAATGAGTATGATTAATTTAATGAAAGAAAAGCAATGTTTTTAAAGGTAATTAATTATTAACTTCTTTTTAGGTCGGGCTTATTTATATAGGGTTTGAGTTCAGATATTATTTACCACATTTTATAACAAAAATCTTTTTTAAGAAAAACCGACTTCATTTGGACAAAACCACTAAAAATATGAAATAATACAATATACGTATATGGGAATGACGAACGGGAATAGCCGATCATCAGAATTCATTGATCTAAAAGTATGTATGACAGTATATAACACGAAGCAAATTAAGGACTTAGTGCTTAATGGCAAAATTTCTATTTTAGGTGCAGGCGGGAAAAATGATGTTGTTTTGTACATATTAAAATCACCACATTGCGCATTTTAAAATTTCTGTGGGTTCTAGTGTCCTAAGAAAATCTTTTTATACAAACTTTTTTGACAATATCGAATAAATACAAGTTTTACACTGATTTGCATAAATCTCTTAATTTTAATGCATATACTTCCTACGTAGTCAACGCTGAAAGGAAATTAAATGAAACAAAACATTATAAGTTTCTTTAGTAATTTTACGTGGAAAAATCTTACCTTCATCCATGGTGAGTGCATAGGAAACCATCGCCATAGCGAGTAACGCAAATGCGCACACTCCTCTGGCCTTTCTCGACATAATCTGCAATAAAATAATTAACACGCTCATCTTTCCACTACAATATAACAATTTAAGCTCAGATTATAGAAGAAAAGGCAGATGGAGCGCACGGTACACAGATTGCGTGCCACCAAATAAAATATCACGTCAAAAGCGAACATCAGCTTAAAGCTTTTAGTTCTGTAATCTGAGAAGTTTACGAAATAATATTTTTTGAATAAAAATTTTATAAAAAACACCAAGTCCAGGCAACAGATGGGCTTCGAATGCGTACCTTCCGCTATCCAGGTGGAAAATATTGAGTTGATAAGTAAGTATCGCAATTTGGTATATCTATACAAGAGTCTGCACTGCGTGAGGAGGGACTCCCTCACACTGTTCTATAAAGACATAAAAAGTGCACGCGGAGCGGACGTCTACTCCGTGCTCACGCTTAAAGCAGTGCAGGTCGTAAGTTATCAATTTAAGAAAAACATGTATTGTAATTCTTCTTCTATATTTAAGCGCTTTCTCACTCCTACCATGGTAAGAAATACCTAAAAATATCCGACATGAATTATTTTCTTGAATCAAGCATTATGAATTGCTGGTGACCCTGCCGACCCAAACGTTGGGGCTTTGGGTTCAGGCCGGCATGGTGAGGATACCTGGGGCGGCACACATTCTGCCGCATCATCTATCTTAGCGACTGGACTCCACTTAAACCTAAGGTATAAGTGGGGTAATTTGTTGCGTGTGCTTCTTATATATAATAAATACCAATTTGGTGCAACGAGCAATTAATTATCTACCCTTAAAAATTACTACTAAGTACCTACATTTTACAATGTACTTTAAAAGGAATTTAGAGTTTCATCCTGCTTTGACCGCTCCCTTTGACTACAGTATAACCATGCTCTGATAAGACAAGGTATGTTCTTTCCAGGCGTAAGTAAATACATAGGTAATAAATAAATATTTCCAACACTCACACCAATTAGCCTAGCCCCAAAGTAAGCACTATATGGATTGTGTAATGGGATACTAGGCTAACGGATAGAATACATATACTGTATGTTCGTATTCATCAGATTTGAACCCGGGACCTCTCGAGTCGGCGACACCATTAAACCCAGCGTACAAACCACTCGGCCACGGAGGTCGTCAAATAAAATATTTTGTGTATCATTAGAAACCGTTACACCAAAAGCAAGCATCAATTTCGTCAAACGTCAATCTAATCAGCATAATATCAATCTTTAAAATTTTTAGAAAAAAATGATTTCTGGGTAAAAACCTTTTCGGTTGTTTAGTAGTCATACATATTTGTTTAATAAGATATAGGTACAATTTACAATAACAAAAGCATTCCCATGTAGGTAGCTTCATGTATAAGTTTTACTTTCAGATTGTACATATTTCAATTAGCAAGTAAGTACAAAGTAAGTAGGCTAAGTTGCCTTAGTTCGGTAAAGTATGAACTCTTCTACGTTTTTTTTATTAAAAACTATGTTTTTATTATATTAAATAACTACATAAACAACTAAACAGATATATGAATTTTATTTCAATTATTCTTGAAACAAAGCATGAATCTACATCTGCCAAAAAAATAATAAAAAATTGATTTTTAAAATTATTAATAATAAATTCGTCGCTTATTTAATATGTTATACACAATCGCTAATAAGTAAATAACTTACGTTACGATAAATCCCGTTTTTCTTGTAAATACTAACGTTTTTAACACGTTTTATTTAAATTTCGCCCCACGATCACAGCTTTATTTTCCCGCGTAAAAGCTCGTTCGAATTTCGAATCGTAGCCGCGAGCGAGAGCGCGTGCGCGTGTGCTTACGCGCTTCCCGACTGACTCACAAATTACAGAGAGGACTGACTACTACACAACATTCGTTCTCCACTAATCAGTTGCCTGGCTGCTCTATCTCTATAGTACAAAGTTACAGTCAAATGATACTTTATGATACTTATACCTACTTGACTAATAAAATTTCAGGTTTACCTAGGTACAACAGTTATAGTGACCTGTAGCTGGACAACGAGTTACGTGTGTGCCTCGATTTAAGTAAATACTGTCGCATTTGCGTTTACTTCAAAATTAATATGAACAAAACTCAGATTAGAGCACAGACCAAGATTAGAGAAAAATCTCTTATGCCTTGATCACACGTACCGAATAAACGGCCGAGACAGTAAAATGAGTGTCGAGAGAGTGATGCAAACGAGCGCTCAGCCGAACACTAAGTTTATACGTACCGAGTATTCGTTCGAGAGCACTGTCTCGTTCGTTTGCTGGGTAGGTACGTGTAATCAAGGCATTAGTTTACGTACCACCAGACGGCTTCATAATTTTTTTCATACCTCCTAATAATCCGAAGTAAAGGCTTATCTTTTCTTTATTATTAAAGTTAAATCGAGGCGCAACTCACACTTCGGATTCTAACAATAATTTTATGAGTCGGACTCGCAGACAAAGGGTACCGTGCCAAAATATAACATTCAAAACAACATCGAACAAAACAAATAGAAAAAAATCACTTCTCATGTGTAAAGACGTGTCACTCTAATTTTTTTTATACATTATAACTAGCTGATCCAGAGAACTTCGTACCGCCATAAAAATAAGAGTTGGTGGTAGAGTTTTTGTATGATGTCATAAAAAATAAAAACAAAAAATTTAAAAACAAAACCCTTAACATTTAGAGGGATAAAAAATAGATGTTGTCCGATTCTCAAACCTACTGAATATGCATATAAAATTTCACGGAAATCGGTCGAGCCGTTTCGGAGTAGGTAATTCAATTACACACACCGTGACACAAGAATTTTATATATTAGATTGTTTTATTTGCCAATATTGTGATAAAGGCCATAGTAACACGCGCCGTGTGCGTCTGTGTTTTTTTTAATGGGGTTTGGCAGACAACGAAAGCATTTGTCTGAAAAGGTTCTGAAAAACAAAAACAGCATTTCTTTCAATAGTCAAACCTAAGAAATAATGATCAGCTATGTATAATATAGTATCTAGGGTATTTAATATCGTTGCTTCTATTAAATAAGCTCTCACAAACGTAATGTTAATGTAGTAGCTACATAGAGGTATAAGAATAGAGTGGGGAAGGCGGCTCTAAAGGTGTCCGTTTAGTAGATAGAGAAAGAAGATGAGAGACGGCTAGTTTTTCTCTCTCTAATCGCGAATGCGCATTGGATAAAAAACCTACGGATGAATAGAGACCAATCACATGACTGCGCAGCAATACCGAAAAATTACTCGACTGCGCAGAGTCACAAGAGAGAGAGATAGCTAGTCGTCTCTCATCTTCTTTCTCTTTCTACTAGACGGACACTTCCACTTGTAGTAGAGTACATATCTCTATTCTTATACCTCTATGAGTAGCTCTTTTTGAATTTACTAGAAAACTCTGAGTCACTGACAGCTGACAGATATAGATATATCTTTATACAGATATAGGGTACGGGCAGAGATGTGATTTATTTGAAATACTTCTATTTTAAATGCAAATAGAAAATGCAAAATACCTATTTTATATTTAAATACCTTTCAGTGAAAAGTATTTTGTATTTTATTTGAAATGCCTTTCGAGATGCATTTTGTATTTTTAATATTAATTTCAAAATACAAAATACTTTGTGATTAAGTTTAGCCAACATTACCAGTCAAACAAAACAAAACGCTTGTATTGCCGAATTCGACCGATAGAGGCGCCTGCTAACCAGTGTTTCCACAATGAGGGGAAATTCCCCTTTTAAGGGGAAATCAGGGTCCAGAGGGGAAGAAAAAGGGGAAATTGCGGGAAATTATGGGTAGCCTAGCCCTAGCTAGCCTAAAATAATGCGGCATGGAACAAATTTTTTATGGATTATACCGTGGACTAGAGTGTTGTTGCCGTATAAAAGAAACTGTGGCAACACGTGCAGATTTTATATATTTTATTTATATGTTATAGAATAAGATAGATTAAGACTTTTTTTTTCTTCAGTTACTACACTAGTGCCATATCTAAAAACTACAGCAGAATCATTTTTGAGGGGAAAAATGCCCTAAGAAGGGGAACTCTGAATTGAGGCATGGGGAAAGGAAATCATTAAAGTGGAAACACTGCTGCTAACCATGCGCGACATTTTTTTCTTCTTTGGTCAAAGTGCGCGCCTTATGTCAAGTAATGTCTGAAAAGTGTCAATTTCCAACGAAAACAGCGAACATTATCTATGGCTATGAATTTATGGATATGAAACCTCGGAGTAAACAAGACTTGTTTACTCCGAGTATGAAACGCATAGCCGTTGACACCGACGGTTTGATTTCACGACGAGTTTATTATTTTCTGGTGCTAGTGAAGTAGTTACTGATTTGATTACCTACTTCTCTGATATTGAAGTGTTGTTATTATTTCTATAATACTGAAACGGTTATGCACTATACCTGGAACGGTTACGTACTACAAGATAATTTAGATAATCTAAATAGACGTGACTTGGTGGATTTGGCTGGTTTCTAACAATTTCTACCTTAAGTCTGTCCAGTTTATTGCGCACCGTTAATTGAAATAATAAAGGAAAGTATTCAAAATTGTTTCGAAAAATTTGATTTAGATAACCCAAGATCCAAGGACAGCATTCTGGCAGCAATATCGTATCCATTTTTCAAATTAAAGTGGGTGCCTAAAAATAAGAAGGAGCATCTTAGGGAGCTGTTTATCCAAGAAGTCAGGAAATTTAAAAATGAAAATTTAAAAAGCTGCCTCCTATCACAGACATCGGAAAGAAAAAGAGAAAAAAGCGAGTCTTATTACATGTTCCAGGATTCAGATTCCTCGGCAACCAGTGAGGGTGGTAGTGCTAATAATATTACAATAGATCTGGAAACCCTGCAATATTTAAAGGATGAGAGCACAAGTCTGGAGATGCTAAATGCTTATCCTACAGTAAAAAAAAATATTTTTTAAATACAACACATCCTTACCAAGTTCAGCACCAGTAAAAAGACTTTTTTCGTATGGTGGGATGATAATGAGACCTCACAGAAGAAAAATGAGTGATGATGTATTCGAACAACTGGTATTGTTAAAAAGCGTAATAAATAAACAATGATATTTATTTTTATCACTTTTTAACAATACCAGTCCAGTTCCAGTTGTTATTAGTTTTAATAAGAAAAGTGTAATCATATGTAATATGTTATTAGACGTTTGTTTTTCGGCTCGGCATTGTGTGTCTCTATTGCTCATGTATGATAAGTAAATATGTACCTATAATAAATAAAAATATCTGTGATTTGGTCAGGGGGTATTTTATTTTGAAAAAGTATTTTGAAAATACCTATTTTGCATTTAGCATTTGAAATACAAAACGCAAAACTATTTAGTATTTTGCATTTGAAATAGTAAATCTGAAAAGTATTTTGCATTTTGTATTTAAATGCTTTTTTAAAACCATTTTGTGCATCTCTGGGTACGGGTGCGGCCAGAGTGCACTCAGATTCAGATTCCGAAAACAAGTGCGAGAAATAAACAGTGTAGTCGAAGGGTGCGGCCAGAGTGCACTCAGTTTCAGAGTCAGATTCAGATTCTGAAAACAAGCGCGAGAAATAAACAGTGTAGTCTAAGCAGGTTGCCTGCTTTTTCTCGCGCTTTGTTTTCTGAGTTTGAATCTGAATCTGAATCAGGAGTGCAATCTGGCCGTACCCTTCGACTACACTGTTTATTTCTCGCGCTTGTTTTCGAAATCTGAATCTGAATCTGAGTGCACTCTGGCCGTAGGGTGCGTGTGTAGTAGTGTAATGTAGTTAAAGCAGGGTGGCCATAGTGGCAGCAGGCAACCTGCTTAAACTACACTGTATATTTCTCGCGCTTGTTTTCTGAGTCTGAATCTGAATCTGAGTGCACTCTGGCCGTACCCATTGATATTAAAATCTATGCTGAATATGAGGGTATTCTTTGCCTTAATCGCTTTTTTGTAACAATACTGCCAGCTGTTCTGTAATTACCGGATTTTTATGGTTATCATGTATGATAGTAAATTAATATATACTTACTACAAAAATAGGCGAACTTAAAGGCTAGATGGGTAAATTTCTTATTTGATCGATATACTGGCTAACTACAAAAATTAAAATATTATGTTCTGTGGAAGTTTATCTATTATTGATAGATATCTACGAAGCAACCGACATCGGGTGGAGAAATTATTTATTACAGGTCTAGTATGTCAATATAGCTACAATAAAGATTTAATAGCACTCTCATCTCATAAACAGACGATTTTTAAAGTAAAGATTTTTATAATTATATTTTTTATTTACTGAAAATAAATTTCCGTAACTCATATACTTTTATAAATATAAAAACGAAACGAAAAGAAATCTGCAAGTTTGTGGAAAAAGTTAGTTTTACAAATGAGAATATTTGATTTGCCGTAATTCTGGCAGTACAGGCTCGCAGCCGCTGGCAACACCACACCAGTCTGTGATTTTTTTTTAGTCTATAGTCAATGTTTGAATGATTTGTCTGCAATAGTAAATGTCATTCCGTATTTTTCAAGCTCAATAAATAACAGGATGGCAGAAAATAGGGAAGAAATTCTTGCAAATTTTCAAGTAAGTTTATGTTTCTTTTATGTACCTATTATAAATAATAATACACTATCATCAAACTGTTATTTGTGAAGGTTATGTCGTGAACAACAACAGTGACTAGGAAATCTTCTTTATCTCTTTGTACTTTTGAGTTGTGGCCAGAATCAAAGGGTTTTCTAAGAAAATATTGAATATTCTTTTGATATGTTTAGGTTGTTGGACAAAACAATAAGCTTAAATTGCCGTGATGTAACTTCGAACATGACTTCCTTTATTCGTCCTTTGTGTGCATTTTTCAAAATTAATATAATTCACTAAGTTACATGGTGAATATCGTTATTTTTTCTGCGTAAATTGCCAATGTGTTCCGTTGAAGTTCTATATGTCTTTAGAATAAATGCTTTAAAATAGTCTAGTAAAAAAGTAACAATTATATTTGCAGGGAATAACAGCCATAGAGGATGTTGCTGAAGCAATTTATCACCTGGACGAATCAAATTGGGACTTGCTTGTGAGTTGCAAATTTATCTTTAGATATAAAGAAAAATAAATGGCAGCTATGCTATTCTTAAACAAAGTACAGGATAGTAGTATAAATTTACTCTTCAACAAAACTTTGAAAATACCACTCACTTATTATTCATTATCAGCCTAATGCATTTTATTGATGAGTCACTTATAGTTTTAAAATCTTGTTTTACTTTTTCATCATAATACCCATTCATTAAGCTATTTAATTTGCTAAGTAACAGGTTTTTAATGATTTCAATACTAAAATGATGTCTCTATTAATATAAAATACCCATTCTCGAGGCAGATTTAAAGCAATTCCTTCTAAATATTTACAACTTTAAGAAGATGAAAAATAGTATATTAATTTAAAAACTAAGGTATTTGTCCAAGTTCAACAGCAAACAATAATGGTAAGCTATAACAGTAAATATTTGAATCTGTAGGAGCAATTTCTGTATCACTTATAAATACTATACATTTATTTTTATATATTGATTTTGTATTGCAATATTGAATTAGAATTCTATTCTGCAGTAAATTTAACTATAATAATATCTCTTCAGACATTGTGCTGTGTGAGGTGGCTATTATTATTATTGCCACATAAGCAAATTGATGGCTGGTTCATATGGTACCTTTCATATGGTCATATATGAGCATATGTGGATTCAGCTAGTAAGAAAGAGCCTTCTCTACTACTTTCCTTTCAAAATCATTCATTCATTTCATTTTCATTCAATACCGTTTTAGGTATTATCAACTTGACCACAGCCTTCAGGTCAAGATCTGATGATGAGATCCAGAAGAAATCAAAGGAACTCTTAAGATAGGGTATTTGATAAGTTTTAGAAAACAATCTCACGTTATTAACTAATGTTTATGGCGTCCGTAAAAAGTGGATATTCATCAGTCTGTTATGTATTTCAGTAAAAATAACCAAGTTAAAAACTCGCATATTCAAGTAGCCCCGAAAACGTTTCTCTGGACAATATGGCGTCATACTAGTGTGTGTGACGTCACACACTAGTGTTATTAAAACGTCAAACGATATAATGTAATGTCACTTTTACCGGAAGTTTACATGCGTGTGACGTCATTTCAGGCTCCGCCAATCCCAAACGTTTTGGGTCACGTGGCGATAGATAAGAAAACTATTATCTTTTTCGTAGGTTTTTAGTAAAATTATAATTGGCACTTTATTTTTAATACTGTCAAATACCCTATTATTATTACTACTGTCGTCAGGCCAACTAATCGTAAATTATAAGGAAGTATAACTCACTAACAAAAGCCGCTAAAACATGATTCCCAACCCATACAACTAAACTTTAATACTAATGCGACAGGCACACAGACTAAACAAAATGTTTTGCCAAATCAAATCTCCCAACTTAATATACTAAATTTTTACTCTCTTCTGCATCTATGATCAGTGTGTTTCAGAATTGCCAGTGTGTCACCCAAGGCTACATATCATGCAAAACAGATTTAAGTTATAATTACCAATGCAATAAAAATATTTGTCAACAGACAGCCATCAACCGAGTGATGCCGCAGGACGGCAGCAACTCGGTGTCACGCAGCAACGACACACATGATGTTGACATGATAGATGATGATATATCTGTGATAACTCCAAAAACACACCCACCAGGTACTTTTGTAGATTTTTATTTCAGATTTCTCATGCATTGTTATGTAATATATTTTTTAAATAAGCTATTGAGCCCAGGCTATAGATTACGATATGACGAATGATCCACTTAAATTTTGAGTTTCATATTGAAATGTAATTTCTTCATTAATGAAGACTGTAGACATATGCTATTTTGTGAAGTAATGATTTCCAAAGCTCCATGTGGTTAGTCTCACCCAACCATAGTTAGTACCTATACATAATTATGATTTCTGTTTGCCTATAATGATTTGTGGTTCATGTGTTATGTGATGTCATCTATAGGTATGTGGTTTTTTTCCCTCATGACTTTGCAATGTACAACACGGGTAAAACTATAGTACAAATGTGAAAAGAGACATCAATATTATTTGTATAAATTTGAACATATAAAATGTGGGTTTATATTTTCTGCATTTTAGGCCATTATTCATTTCAAAGTACTCATGGGTGAACCTAAGTGTTCTTTTATTATAGTTTTAATCACTCCTATAATAAAATTGTTTGATTAAGCTGTTAAACAAGTATTTTATCTATTCACATAACAATGCAGCTTTTTATCTATTATGTTTAGGCATTTTATGTCAATACAATTAGTATACAAGTTACTGATAAAATTGTATATTAGAAGCTGCTTTTGCAATCACTGGATAAAACAATAAATAAAAATTTTCAAATATCACAATCAGTATTTAAATACTGTAAGCGAATGGTCAGTTCTGAAAACTTCTAGTATGCACTGAGTATAAGCTGTATTGTTAAGATGTAATGATATTATTCTTGCTTTGAAATGCGAGTTTTGTTACTCGGGAAATTCGTCTTAGATAATTGAGTTGACTTCTTGACTTTTCTATTTTGTTAAGGGGTGTGTTAAAATTTCAGCCAATGCTTGAGACAGGTTGATTTCTTTAATTAATTTGGTTTGTTTAATTATTAATGTCTGGCTTGTTCAGATCGGGAAGACAGCAATCAAGCGTCGACCTCATCGCCTAGAAATAGTGCCACTGATTTAATAGAGTTCCAAGTACATTACAACAATAAGATGCATGATGTCAAAATGTCTCCAGTGGCTACAGTTGGTGAGTATATTCCCTAAAACGATAACAGTTGTCTCTCTCATTCTATCCTCAGTTAACCATTACAATCTGTATGTCTATAATGTTACTGTTTTAATTGTTATAAGTAAGAGTTGTAAGTTATAATAATACTAGTGCGTACCGACGACTTCGTCGAATAGACTCAAACTATCTCTATGCCAAATTTTATTTAATTTGGTTCAGCTATTTAAGCATGAAGAGGTAACAGACATCTGTCTATTACCTCCTCACACTCGCATTTATAATATTAGAATGAATTGATTATAATATGCTCTAAGCTTTGACTTTGGATAATTTTCTTTGTTTTTAAATTCAATATACATGTAAGGCCTCACTAATCCGGATAGGGAAATACAAAACCCCTTCCGAGTTATAGTATGTAATATTTTTTTACGATAAAAAATATTTTTTAATAGTTTATCTTTTATTAACAATGTAGAATGTTGCGTGGTGGTGCCATTTTAACAGCAAACTCGCGTTAAATTAACTAATAATGCAAGGTGTCTGAAAATGATTAATTATTGACATGTTGTAACCTGCACCTACCACTTCCCTCGCGAACGTCTCCCCTCGAGCGATCCCCTCGTCTGTCCGGATTACAGCTTGCACCGAACTAACGGGGGCCCGGATTAGCGATGCTCTACTGTAGTACAGGTCGCGGCACGTAACTCTAGCGCTGAACAAAACGCGGTGGCGATAGCTACGACTGGAGAGCCAATCGGCGCAACGCACGCCCACCCGCGCACCTCGTTTCCCCTCAAGACATCTTAATTTTTTACTTCTGCACAGTAACCGTCAGTGCTAGAGTTTCGTGCCGCGACTTACGAGTATATGTATGTTTGCGTCTAGGTGACTTAAAGAAACGGTTAGAGTCTGTATGCGGGGTGCCCGTGTGCAGACAGCAAATATCCGGTTTGGGCGGGTCCAAGGCTACATCGGGAGCCCTGTTGGGACACCTGGCCTTACCACGCAACGCCGTGCTGCGACTGAAGGCGGCCGACCAGCTGATGGCCGATGACGAGTATGTTGCACACATTTGTTTATTCATTTACTGACTCGCCCGTGACTTCTTCCGCGTTAGCTCTAGTTTTTTTAGAAATTGCACAGAAACCTAACGTTTTTCCGGTATAAAAAATATCCTATTTCTTAATCCAGGTCATAAACTATATGAATACAAAATTTCATCTAAATCCGATCACTATTTTTTTGCGTGATTGGGTAATAAGCATACAAACTTTCACATTTATAATATTTGTGAGATTTAGAATTAAACACACCAGCAGTTAATACATCACAATTCATTCAAACTATAAAAATGCATAAAAGTTTTTATCTAAATGTGTAATTACATAAAAATAATGACATCATTAAATAGCTGACAATCATAAATAGCAAAAATTACAATAAATAATGGGCCTGATTATCTAAACCTAAAACGAATTAACAGAAGACCTTATCATGCTATAAAGAGAATGAAAAGGTTCAGTTGTAATTTTCGACAAGTTTATTTTGTTTGAGAAACAAAACGAATTGTAATAACTGTAATTATTTGCAGTCATGATATTTCTCTAAGTTATGATATTTTAATAAGCTCGATGGCGCAAGTGGTGAGCGCTTTCGGCTGCGATCGTTGACGTAAAGCAACTTTCGCAGTGGTCGGCCATTGGATGGGTGACCAAAAACCATCTCTAGTTCTTCCGTGCTTTGGTCCCGGCTGTATCTGCCGTCGTTAGCACCCTCCAATCGGTACTGGGCCCGTATGGTGGGTCATGGTTTCTCCCTATTCCATCCATAGGGAAGGTCTGTGCCTCAGTTGTGGGGTCATTAATAGGCCGATGATGATGATGATATTTCTATTTTCTATGTTATCATTTGTTGCCAGGGTTGCGGAGAGACTGACCAACACATACGTTCTTCACGTGAAACACGACGACAAAGACTACACGCTCAAATACCCCGGAACTAAGACGGTACAGGAGGTCAAGAATGACATATACTCGCTCACCGACATACCAGTACGACATCAGGTATGTAACTGTGTCTTTTATAAATATGAGCACTACTTATCTTAGAAGTTAAATTAGTTTGTGTATTAAACGCAACGCTTCACGGTTTTAAGCTCTGTTGTAAACAGAGACAACTTTGCTAGTTTACAACCATGTGGACGACTTTTGTACACTAAATGTCACCTTGCTACGCCTATGTTTACGGACGGGCGTTGTAAAGCGGGCTACTGACATCCCTGCCGCAGGGGCACTCTACGGTGTAAGAGTTTGGATGACCCTTAATTGTGATGTGTGTAAGCAAGCAGGGGCAATTTTCTATATTGGTCCTGCAGCAAGGGCGCGAGACCACCCTTGGTTCCTAAATTGTCCCTGCCGCCCTGCTCTATTATAATCTAGACAGAATGAAGACGACTTTTCAAATTTAGGTTGAAGTTTAGAGAAGTACTAGCTGACCCAGCGAACTTCGTACCGCCATAAAAATAGGGGCTGGTGGTAGAAGGGTGAAAATTTAGGGTTGCATGTATTTTTAATGCCACATTATAAAAAAGAATAAAAATAAAAAAAAAATGTTAGGGGTAGACAACCCTTATCACTAAGGGATATGAAAAATAGATAGTAGACGATTCTCAGACCTACTGAATATGTATATAAGACTTCATCACTTCAATCCATCAAGCCGTTTTGGAGGAGTATGGTAACTAACATTGTGACACGAGAATTTTATATATAAGTCGCGGACCGTTATTGCGCAGAAGTAAAAATTAAGATGTCTTGGGGGGAAACGAGGTGCGCGGGCGGGAGTGTGTTGCGCCGATTGGCTCTCCAGTCGTACCCAAGTCGTACAATTCCAATGCGTACAAAGAAATTTGGTGACTCATTTCTTTGTCGCACTATCCGTAAATGGAATGCTCTGCCCGCTCACGTGTTCCCTTCCTCTTACAACCTGGGATCCTTTAAAGAGGCGTGATGAAGCAACATGCAGGGCATTTGTCGGACCTATCTATAAAAAAAATGTCTGTCGTTTTGCCCAAGAAGTTTGCTGCTCCTATGTATTTATTTAATGTTTCCGTTTACATTAGGCGTGGACGGGCTGGCCTACGGTAATGGGTTTGGACGACACAGTACTGGCCATGGTGGGGCTCGACCATCCTCAGCACGAGCTCAGCGTCAAACGAGCGCCGCACGCCAAGCAGAAGGAGTACAAACGAGTGAGTAGTTGACACTGTGCCCGCGTGTCGTATACACAGAGGAAAAGTATATTTAATATTGAAGAAAGGATATTTCACTGAAAGGAGAATTCATTTTATTTTTAATAATAAGTTATAATAATAATAAATAAGGTAGTCAAACTCGCGAAATGTGAAAAAAACACATGACGTATTTTATGGTAACCGTCGATAGGGTAAATCATAAGGATTTTGAACTTTTGATTTGAACATGGAATTCATTATTGCGTAATACAGGCATATTTTTGTATAAATATTTCCCACACACACTAATTAGCCTAGCCCCACAGCAAGCTCTGTAAGCCTAGTGTTATAGTATGCTAGAATACATATACTGATAATATACATATATACGTATATTTTATCTTGAAATATATATATGAGGAGCTCGATGGCGCGGGTGGTAAGCGCGTTCGGCTGCGATCGTTGAAGTAAAGCAACTTTCGCAGCGGTCGGTCATTAGATGGGTGACCAAAAATCTTCTATCTCGAGTTCCTCCGTGCTTTGGAAGGCACGTTAAGCCGTTGATCCCGGCTGCATCTGCAGTCGTTAGCACCCGCCAATCCGCACTGGGCCCGCGTGGTGGGTCATGACCCAATCTCCCTATTCCATCCACATCCACAGGGAAGACCTGTGCCCCAGCAGTGGGGATATTAATATGGGCTGATGATGATGATATATATAATCATATAATTTAATCCATGATTAAGTTTTAAATGCTCGTATGCATCATTCTAACATTCGCCCCCACCGGCATTCGAACCGGGACCTCTCAGTGGCGACGTCATGAAACCCGGCGTATACCGATATACACTACTCGGAGGTCGTAAATTTGTAACCTACTAACTTTGTTGCACACAGATTATAGTGGAAAGTTCTGACAGCGACAACAGCTCAGTGGAAGAGGTCGAGGAATCTGGGGACGGCTTCACTGCGGAGGACGACATGTTCGTAGACTTAGTGCCATCGGAGAGATTACAGCCGCTGAGTAAGTGAAAGTTCTATTGTTTTAAAATATTCAACTGTATCTTGCAACGATATTAAATACCTAGATACACCAACACAAACAAAATCGTGTCCGAAACCTGTCTAAAAGGTATATTGGACGATACACGGAGCTCCGTAAGATGATCGCGTAGTCAAAAGCAATATAAGGCATTATTGAAACATTGCAAGTCACCTATAATGCATACGTTATTATGTCTTAATTAAAACGCAGGCGTCAAAGAGTTATGGCAGTTCGAAATTCAAACTCGTAAAATTTTACGACATTGCTATATGCGAAACAATATAGACCTTATTCCTTTCACTTTACGTGCAATTTTGATGAGATGACTAATAATAAAAATCAAAGTGAGGCCCTGCAAGAAACGTATATCTTTTTTTCCGAGCTTTTTATTCGACCAAGTATTAAATGAAATAGTTTCATGTGCGACGAGTTAACTGCTGCATTGATGCCTCACACATCATTTTACTAAAAATCAGACTGCCTAGAATTAAAGATGCCACTTCTCCCATAATACCTAAATAACTATTAGTTAAATAAATATTTCAAATGACAGTTGACAGCAAACATAATAGTCACAATACTTTGTAGGCAATCTGCTTCTTAGTCAATTAGCGTTTTAAGTGTTCTTCTATTCCTTAAAAATAAAAAAATGCTCCTAAACACTTCTTGAAAATACAAATATCTTATACAAGCAGAGATTTGTCAGTAAAAGCTTTCTTAAAAATAAAATTTTATTTATGAAGGCATGGAGCAGCAAAAATATAATAATTTCAAAGATAAAGTAAACATTTTAACCATATACTATATTTTTAGAGGTACAAAAATACTATAGATGATAGATTAAAAGTTGGTAACCCTACTCATAACCGTAATTATTTATTGTGACAGTGTCAGAGCACGTTGAAGATGAAGCGCTAGGTTGCATCGAGTTCGCCCAACGATTCAAGACACGCTACGGCCCCAACACGCCCAACTTCTTCGAGGGTACCTTACAGGACGCCATCAAGGAGGCCTGCCTCAAACCTGCCAAAGAAGTAAGATTATAGACACAGGCATCATAGCCACGAATTTGACAGCTCCTTGATCGTATCGTCATCGTCAAATTTTGGATGGAAAGAGCCAGTTTGTTCTTACGTTCGGTAGGGGCGCTGCTTAGTCCTCATAGAAAATTTGACGATGCGATAAAATTACGGAACTTGCGTCTCATATCCTTAAATTGGCTTTTTTCCAGGACCTAATCACATTTTTTTGCTACGGAAATATTTTTGAATATAATAAAAAATAAACCAAAGAATAATTTTATTTATATATATCATTGTTTTCAACGATTAAAACTCAAAGGACATTGCTCGTTCCCCATACATTGAATGCCCTATAACGCCCAGCAATGAGAAAATGCTAGTTGTGTTCGGAATCATTCATAAAATCTAATTAAGCATTTGTTGAGATACGGACAACTTGAGGAACAGTGGCCTACTACAGAATGTATTAGATTTTGAGGTTATAATTATTATACTTAATCGTAAAAGATGTACACTTTATATATTCTGAATAGATTTGAGGAGTGCCAAGTTGGATGAACAGACTGTAGTATCTAGTAACAGAACTTTTATTTTTTATTTTCTTAAACAGATTGTCCGTTTACAATGATTAATTGTTAATAAGTTAAAAAAATAATAGTGAAGGACATTCTTTTGGGCATGCTAGGGCCGATTTCGCCGATGTCCTTTATGGTTGAGACGAGTTTGCAAGCTCTTAATTTTGTTTCTAAACAATTTATCAAAATTCAATATTCATTTATTCAGTTTAGGCTTTTACAAGCATAAGTCAAAGTCTAAAGCTACGCCATCCGTTTCGTAAATCTACGGCGAGAGACCTTATACTGAGAAGAACCGGCAAGAAACTCAGCAAAGGCTGCTTTTTTCTCCCTGTATTATTTCATACATCGTCGTCAAATTGAAAGCTGACATCAAACTTATAAACATGTATAGAGGTCAACTTCCATCACATAATGTAAAAAAAGGTAACAATATATATTCAAAAGCCCCGAAATATCTAGTAAACAATTTTCAAAATACATGAGCAAGTTTAAAAAAAACACTTAGTGCAAGGTTCTCTTTAATACTCCTTTTTAGGAGACAAGTTGAATATAACTTTGAAAAAAAAATCCAGAGGTTTTATCATTTAAATACTGTTTAACAGTATAATATCCTTTCTTACACAAGCAATTTTTAATGTGTGTGTTTAAATACATTTAGAGGCAAATCAAGAATATCACTGGGAATCTTATTATAAAAATGTATACCTTGACCCATAAATGATCCATGAACTTAATGTCACCTGTACAATGGTAACTTAATTTTGTTTTTATTCCTAGTATTAAAAGTATGAACTACAGTGACATTCACGTTGAGATTAAAGTTAATATTGTTTCGACCAAAAAATATACAATTGTAGATAAATTGCGAAGAAACGGTCAATATCCCGATTTCTTTCAATTTTTCTGTGAGAGACTCTCTTGAGCTTAGTTGATAAATAGCTCTTGCAGCACTTTTTTGCAAAATAAATATCGTTTCGATATCTGCTGTTGTCCCCCAGAGAATAATGCCATAGGATACAATGCTGTAAAAGTAACTAAAGTATACAGTCCTAGCAGTATACCTACATCAGAAAGTTGCCTCATCTATCGTATGGCATAAGCCACTGAACTAAGTTTACCAGCAAATTCAAATCCTTGTCACTTCTCTATCTTTTCCTCGCATGCCACTCTGAGTAATAAACCATAAAATACAGATTATATTTTTTTTTATTTAAGCATGTAACTGCTAGATTTTTATATCTAAAAAAGGGTGCGGGCTCTAGTCCTGTCTGCTGCCTGGTCTGCATGGATTTTTTGTAGTCAAATTCTCTTTACATAAATATTAATTAAAATAGTTACATTAATTCCTACCAAATAAATAAGTATACGTTCCTCTGGTGTAATTCTTCAATATTTTGCGCACAGAGAAAACTCCTCGGCCTATACCTTCATCACGAGCAGTCTGTGCTATCGAACGTGTTCTGCGCCCAACTTCTGGGCTGTGAAGCTGTCCTCCAGACGCTCGCGACCAACTTCGTAGTGTACGGATGGGATCTCACACATCCCGACAACAATCTAATGTGAGTACGAAACTTACCCTTGTGTGTTTGAAATAAATTACTAATTTAAATACTGTAATACCGGCACTTCTCTAGGCGACTAGTATTTGCTATTTTTAAACTTGCCAAAAGTCTGTCCTTATCATTCCTTATAAGGAATGAAAAGACAGACTGATGTCAAGTTTACAAATAGCAAACACGAATAGCCAAGGTTGGTGCCGGAATAATAATGTAATGTTCGTATTCCTTGTTAATTTGGAATTGTTCATCCCTATTTTGTCAGCCTTCCCTATGGATAAAGTAGAGAGATTAAAACCTAGACCTGTAAAGTTGTCAATTACAAAAATGTTAGTTGTTAACGAAAAATACTTAAAAAGACGCACACGCACTATTAGCCTGAACCTTGTTTAGTCATAAAACTATACTTATTCTTTAATGCACCTATCTTAGTGTTTCGGTTCTTAGTTCGTATATCTATTTCAGAATTCAGACATTTTCACATGCTCTTTTCCGTAAAGGTATCAGCAAAAACTTAATTTTAATTCAAAGCTATAATTTTTTTAATCTCTTCTCATAAATTTAATCTTAAAATAATTATGTATTATTCTAGGTTATTAAACTCAGTATCGAACGCGCTGGGCGCCGTGGCTAGTATGACGATCCGCAGCATCCCTGTGGACCGGCTGCCTGCACTCGTGATCATAATGAGAGTGCGCTCCAACACAGAGATATACTCCGTCATTAATGGTGAGTTCATCATTATCATTTTTTTTTAAATTCAATATCGTTTATTCAGTCTATGTTGTTACAAGCACTTGTGAATGTCGAAAAGCTACGCCATCGGTTCGCAAATCAACGGCGAGAGACCTTGTACTGAGAAGAACCGGCAAGAAACTCAGCAAGGACTGTTGTTTTCTCCTTGTATTAAATACAGAGTCGTCAAATTGAAAAATGCCTTCAATATGAGATAACTCATGAAGTCACTTTCCATTACAAATGTAAACGATATAACAATTATGACTATAAAATAAAAAAATATATGAAAAATATTATAAAAAAGTTAAGGAATGCCATGTCCTACTGTTTAGGCATAAAAACCAGTTTACGATTAAAGTTAAATACAACGATTAATAGTACCCAATGTAGCAAGAGCAGACTCATCTCCGCTGGCAGCACCCGTTCACGAGCATGACGCATGAACCAGCCATCGCTTCCCTCAACCATTTTTTAGGGAACGTAACGATTCAGTTTATTAATATCCCATTACTGGGGCACATGCCTTCCCTATGGATATTCCATCCAGGGATATTAGACCATGCGGTCCTAGTGCGGATTGCTGTGGGTGCTAACGACTGCTTAATGCGCCTTCCGAAGCACAGGAACTCGAGATTGTAAATTTTTGGTCACCTATCCGATGACCGACTACTGCGAAAGTTGTTTAACTTAAACGATCGCAGCCGAACGCGCTAACCACTTGCGCCATCGAGCTACTCAAAACATAACGCGTATATAATAAGTCTTTGTTTTCCGATTCGTTATTATAATGTTTTTTTAAGGTTCATATTGCTTAAAGAAGTAGTCTTTTAGGTATTTCTTAACTATGTCAATTAACAACACATCATTTAAAACAATTGCCACAAGGCTTGGTTGTGGTATGATTTTTCTTGTCATGCTCTATTTGAGATTAATACCAAATTTAGTGTTAAAGGAAAATGCCCACACTTTATAATTATGGATATTCGGCTTAACATGGACAGACATTTTTACTAGTATAACTATATAATGCAAGAAGTACTAATCAGAACCCTTGAATCATTTTGTATCGTAAAAAATTTTAGCACCGCAATCAAGAAAAGGTAATATAAGCAGAAATAAGTCATTTTCGCCACTATCTGTAATATTCGAAGTCATGATATTACCAATACGAGGTCTAGACACTGGGTAGATACATTTTCTATTACACAATTAAATAATATCTAAAATTAACTTATATTCTTTAAATATACCGCAAAAATTAATATAGCCCAATATGGCGTGCGACGTCACATGCTTAATACTAAATGTCTACTCGAAAAAACGCGTTCTTTTGACAGCTTGGGTGCGTTCCAAACCTACGCTCCACGTGCAACTTTTCACTCTGACGTGTCAATTTAGACACAAATATATGAAACTTCTATTGAATTTGACATATCTTGCACCTGGATCGTAGGTTTGAAACGCAGCTCTGGTCTGCAAATGTAATCTGAGACCCGGCCAATCCTAGCCGTTATCGCTGAAATAACGTGATGTTGACTCAAATTCAGCCAATCATAGCCGTTGTTCCAATTTCCAGACTCAAATCAATCTCAATTTTAGTTTTTAATTTAGAAAATTAAGTCAAAATCTGTCCCATTGTTTTGAACGTTATTCACAGGACTATAAAATTCATAATCAAAAACGCCTTTACCATATCTTCCATAGGCAACGTGGGTGTATCAGAACTAGTCGGTGGTCTGATGGAAGCTTTAGAACGGTTCGCGTCGCAGAGAGACGAGGACGCGCGATTAGAGAGGGAGAGAGATGCGAGACAAATGGTTAAGCGCGAGCAGGACGAAGCATACCAACAGAGTCTCGAAGCTGATAGGTAAGTGTTAAAGAGACGCATTCTAATTTGGCGGGATTGTGATAACTCACAAAGCAAGATGTAGGGCATAGCGGATTTTCCGCTCGAATGGACTAGTTGACAAGTTTTGGAATTATGTTTTAAATGGTTAATAATTATAATTGTTCTATTGGACCGAAAAAAATGTATTTGTTTTTTTTGGCCTAGAAAGCTACAAAACTTTAATTTTAAAATAGATTTTTCGTGGACATACAAAAACGCTGTCGGCCATTTTAGTCTATAGATTTATCTATGCTATGACGTCAAAACATTTGTAAACAAACACTTGCATTGGAAATAATTTATATTATAAAACCATGATTTCTAACAGAATACATGAAACAATAGTAATTATCATGATTGTTATACCTATACGAAAATATAGAAACACATCGCTTTAGACTCCAGAAAAGTTGTGGTTTAAACTAGAAAAATACACATGAATATATGTTTAAAACTTGCCAAATCCTGTAACTTTATCGACTGAAAGTCATTTCTTTTAGCAAAGATGACTTCGATGTAAGTACTCATTGAATAAAATACAATGGTTGTACCTGCTACGTCAAAGAGTTTTATCATTTTAGCTTTCACAAATCCAACGTCCAGCATTAATTAAGCTAACAAAAACAATAAAGGGAAACTTTTCTACAAGATTTAAGAGTTTTAGATATATTTTAGTCCGACGAAATAAAGCACACTAACATGACAATGACGTTTAGTTGCTTACAAATTTTGTGACAGTTCACAATCATGGTGGATAGCGTTTTTAGTGTTCAAAAAGCATAGACGAAAAAACAATTTTTATAAATTAAATTACTACAGACATCTTCTAATTTTATGAAGTGAAATTGATGTATTTATTAGGTTCCTCATACCAATAAACATTGGTGTAGTACTATTTGACAGGAGGCAACTAGCCCATGTAGTCCGACTGGGGAAACAACTTCCAGCTTAAAGACCACAGTAAAATAACACTACCTATTGGTGGTATTGTGTTTGTGCTGATGAGTAGGGGTTCAGGCCGGCAAGGTGGAGATGGCTGGAACGGCACACCAATTAGTCGCATCTATCTTCGCGACTGGACTCCACTTACGCTTAACATCAGGTCGGGTGAAGTAATTTGTTGCGACTCGTAGAGTAAAAAAGCAACCCATTATCAAAGAAAAAGAAGAAGATACATTGTTAGGAAAATTTTACTAGAAAAGAAATCTCTAGAAGTATAGTAACAAATGTAGCGGTTTAATAAACAAAGTAAAAAAGATACCTACTATTACTTCATTAAATTGTCTTTCTATTAAAACTATGTTAAATTCCTTTACTTATATTGGTTTTGTTTTATAGATACGCACCGTTCATGCTACATCAGGCCATGTTTAAATATTGTAAACTAAAATTTTGTTCAGCCTCAAATAGTTTGAAAATAATATAATTATTCCAGAGCTAAAGAAGAAATAAAGAAGCAGCAAGAACTAGAACGGAATCAAGAATTGGAAAGAGCAGAATCGGAAAGGTTGATGGAAGCAGCTAAGCAAGAGGTAAACCCTTCATTTTATTAAACAGCCTATTTTTTTATTATTTTATTCTTGTGATAATTAACTTTCAGTGTAACTAAAGACCACACTAAAATAAAACACTACCTTATTTGCCACCCTTTTAACCTAAAAAATAAAAAATTTAATCCCATTTCTTATACTATGGTCTGACATTAACTCCACGTTGGAATTGTTGAATGTGCATTGTATTGGTACAGGCAATGCGTTCAGCGGCCGCGAGCAGAGTTCCGGCTGAACCTGCGGAAGGTTGCACTGACGTCTGCCGCATCCGCGTGCGTCTGCCGCCCCCCCACGCCGCCTGCCTCGAGCGCCGCTTCCACCCCCACCACCCGCTCACAGTAAGTACCCACATCATAATGCGAGCGCCGTGTGCCCCCCACGCCGCCTGCCTCGAGTGCCACACGAGCAGTTTCATTCCTGTCCCACCATCAGCGAATTAGAAATACGAGTAATAAATATGCCATACGAACTGAGCTGAAAAGTGATTACACGCAAACTGTGATCAAGTGGGTGAGGCGAGAAACTACGATCCACACACCGAACAGGGGATTAGTTGATTTTTGCTTTAATGAACGTATAACCTCTTCTAAAAAACCAAAGTTAACGCGGACTAAGTCGCGAGCGGCTGCTAGTTGAAAATAAAAGTCAAATTTCAAATCTTTGATTCATATTAACACAGTTTCCTTGTTATGAGAAGGTCCTAAGTGCAATTACGCTTTCTTTACAAAATAAAAATTTCTAAGTTATGACATTTTTCAACGAACTATCGGACAAGTGGGTCAGGAATCAATTGGTCCGATCGTACATCCTTTATAATGCGATACAAAATATATGAAGGATGTGAAGTTACCAGCGAGCACATCTATGTGTGGTTTCAGTTCGTATAAAGCGATAGTTTTTGTTTAAAGCACCGCGACTTGCTCTTACTTCACAGCGAGCTTGACTCGCACTCTATACTCTCATACTCCACACCATGATAACATTTGACATTTATATGCTATTTCATTCATAAAACTGAATAGGGAAGATGACTAACTTTTTTTCTCCGGCTATCAGCTAGATTATCAAAAAGTATTGGACACATATTTTTTTTCCCTTTTCACATAAGTAAAACATAACAGAGCTATAGATACTGATTCAAAATGTCGCATGACATCTAGTCTTGGTACAATTTTTACTTAGAAGTAACGTCACGAACCCCACTCTCAAAGTTGGACGCGCTTTATCTTTGCAAGTTCTTTGTTGATTAACAAAAAAAATGTGTTCATCATTTTTTGATAATCTAACTGACGGACTGACTATAATTTCGTTGACTAATACCCCGTCATTCTTATTTGCAACTCGGTGAATCTAGCCAAATTTCACATTATCTTTCTGTTCTAGGCATTACTGGACTTCCTGGCTTCACAAGGTTACCCAAAAGAAAACTACAAAGTTATATCTAGCTGGCCTAGGAGAGACGTGAGTTCCACAAATATTGTATTTTTATTACTGTAAAATTAATTTATGGTTACCTCATAATATATGTTTAATCCAAAACATCATAAGTGATTTCATATGCAAAATCTTTCAAACTGGCATAATATTCTTCTCCAGTTTTGTAACGTAATATTTTATTTCTGAATTAGCTTAACCTAATTCTCAATATTAAACGTGAATTGCTCTCGGAGGAGCTTTATGGCGCAAGTAGTCAGCGTGCTCGGCTGCGATCGTTAAGTTAAACAATTTTTGCAGTGGCCGGTCATTGGATGGGTGACCAAAAATTTACTACCTCGAATTCCTCCGTGCTTCAAAAGGCACGTTAAGCCGTTGGTCCCGGCATCTACTGTCGTTAGCACACACCAATCCACATTGGGCCCGCGTGGTGGGTCATGGCCCAAACTCCCCAATCTCCCTATGCCATCCATGAGGAAGGCCTGTTCCCCAGTATAAAGGACATTAATATGCCGATGATACGTGAATTGACACTCGAATCTAAAAACTATATTTAACGACAGCCCGGTGGGGGCAGATGTTTGTGTAATGAATACGAGCATTTGTACTCCATTCATGGATGTTTAATCTTTATTCTATCCGTTACCCACTAGGGTAATGGGATACTAATCTCATAACACAAGCCTTACAGTGCTTACTTTGGGGCTAGGCGAATTGGTGTGAGTGTTGGAAATATTTATTTATCTAAGGAAAAGATTAGTAGAAAACACTCCCACAAATTGCAGGAAAGCGAGAGGATAGATGTTACACATCAAAAAGAAAAACATAATTATTTTTAAAGCATGTAACATCAAGCAGTTACATGCTTTAAAAATAATAAAAATTAAAACATAACTATATTTATTTATTAAAGCTTTATCATTTGCGCAGTTAACAGCGGAATCTCACAGCAGCACACTGAAAGCGTTGAACTTGTGCCCGCAAGAGACCGTCATGCTCGAGGAGCGGTGAAGGCCCGCGCTCGCCGTCCCGCTCGCACCCCGCCCGCCAGACAGGGACGACAACAACCCGCCCACCAACGCTTGTCGCGCGTATGTATAACTTCGACTGTTTCACTAGATACATTTACAAAACGAAATCTCACAATAGGGTATTTGACAAGTTTTAGAAAACGATCTCACGTTATTGACTAATGTTTATGGAGTCCGTAAAAAGTGGATATTCATCGTCATATTGTGTATTTCGGTAAAAAAACTAATTCAAATACTCTGTTTTCAAGTTGCCACGAAAACGTTTTTCTGAACAACATGGCGTCTTACTAGTGTGTGACGTCACACGACTGTTATTAAAACGTCAAACGATACAATGTAATGTCACTTTAACCGTAAGTTTACTTGCGTGTGACGTCATATTAGGCTCCACCAATCCAAAGTGTTTTGGGTCACGTGACAATAGACAAGAAAACTATTATCTTTTTCGTGGGTTTTTAGTAAATTTATGAATATGTTTTTTGTAAAAATAGTAAAAACCCCTGCCAAACATACTAAACACAGATGCTCACAATTGGCACTTTATTTTTAATATTGTCAAATACCCTATTACAAAACACCATAGACTCTACTGTGTTGATCATGCAGAACAGTAAAATGTTAACACTCTTTGAGAAATATACTTCCGGACGCGTCTATCGGCCCACTAAGTGTTTTAAAGTTTCAACCGTCTATAGCAAAAACGTATGTTAGGTTGAGCAATAATGTAGGGCTTAACCTAAAGGAAAGCCCTGCCCCCCTAGCATGAGCGGCGAGATATGATAAAAAACGCGTTTTTATCACGCTCAATTTTCAAATTACCATAGAGCTTGACAGTTAGACGCGGTAAAATATCTGTTATAATGTAAATTGTGGTGCTTATGCTACGGGTACTGGGGGGTAAAACTCAAATGGTATTTAATGATAACGAATAAAACTCTTGCCTTTGTTTATTTGAATTCAGGGCGAATATAATAATTATAAATTAATAGACAACACCTAGTTCTTGTGCCTGAATTCTATCTCCTGGAATATTCCATAAAAGACAGTTAATTCCCAATTTCAAATCAGTTTCAAGAGTGCGTGAAAACTTTTTGCTTCAATTAACATTTAAGTTTAGCTTATAGTAGGAGAGCTAGCGGTCAATCCGAGTAACTTGTTTGACACAAGGCTAGAAATTTGTAAAATAATGTTTTAGTATTGGTTAACTAAGAAAATACCGTTCTGGCAGGCATCTCGCGGTTGCGTCATCATCCCCTAAATTTTTGAAAATGTTAAAAAAATAGTAAAAAAAATCTGCTTTTACAAGGCTAAAATTTTAATATGTTTTAATTTACATATGTTTAAAGGTAAAAAAAAATTGACAGTCGATTTTGTCGGTTGCAAGTACGTGCCAACCCATAATAAAGTTGTTATGGGGATAGCAATTCATAACTTGCTTTTACAAGGCTGTAATTTTGAGAAAATATTCTTTAAACAATTTTATAAATATATTTAAAAAGCCAGACTATTCTGGTGGTTGCAAGTGTCTACTAAGTTAATATATAACGGTCGCGACGCTTCGTGAGGTGCGAGCGTAATAGGCTTATACGGGTCTCTGTGTCAGAAATTATTGTAAAAATTAAAATATACAATTTCTAAAAATTTTCTCGTTGAAAATTGTTAATATATGATGAACGATTATTGTAATAAAAGAAAAACAGAGTTATATGTAAAATATAAATTTTTATTTTTTTAACATATTTTTTTTTATTAGTATCTTATTCGTCTTCACTCAGTATTTCATCTTCTGAGTCAAAATGATAGCCATCGATCGCTGTTTCGTTTTCTGGAAAAAAAATATAAATTTTTATTGATAAAATGAAATGTAGGCAAAAATACCATATGCACATGTACAGATAAAAAACAGAAATTATTTACCTGACTCAGTGTCATTAGAGTGATCAGGTTGTAGTAAAGCATCATAGATGGATGGTGGCACAGTGCTACCCTCATACCAGTTATATATATATTTATTATCATCTATAATCCACCCATTCTTTTCTGGTGTTAACGTTGTGGGTTCTTTAAGGTGGGCATTACTCCATATACTGGTAATATATTGTGAACGTAGTAAATGTTGATATAATTCGGATTTACAAGGAGGTAAATTTGATGTATCGTAGTTTAAATATTTCTTATTAAATGGTTCATTCACGTTTTTTGGTTTGTAGGTGATGATGAATTTATCATATCTTGCTTCGTTAACATTATCTGCTTTGCTTCCGTAAATTTCACAAATGAATTTTTCAATAATTTTGAAAATTTCACTGCTGCGACCTGTTGTATGAGCATTCCTAAGGTTTTTTAGGGCTTCTTGATATTCTAATTTTTTCTTCAAAATTTCAAAAGGTCGTTTTTTCCCTTTCTTGAAAAATGACGGATTATAGTCACAACCGGTTAATGCATGGAATCCTGGTAAGCTCAATGATAAAGATGGCCCGAGGTTAGTATAAAGCTCGCTTATGGCAAGACATCTTTTTTTAGATCCAGTACCGTATTCCATAAAAATGTGCAATGAGTCACTAGATAAATGGTCCATGTTTCCAAGCATTATAATTAAAACATCAGTATCTGATGATTTAATTAAAATATTTACATTGTCTTCCTCAATTTGGCAAATATGATGTACAATTTTTGTGTCCGCCTCTTCGTGATGAATACAGGACAAAACATCATTGATAACCGAAATAACTGAATTATCTTGAACTGTGTAATTATGACAATGCTTATAATTTATATTAATTACTGTATTTCCAATAAATGGCGCCATTTCATCAGTACTCCAATGGTTAATTAAAAATTCCACTAAAGCCTCTTTAAATGATATATTTCTTAGTTCCTTATTGAAATCTACCGGTCTCACTTGCTCTGGACCAGTAATAGTATAATTTATGCTTCTCTCTTCATGCCGTTGATTACGCTCATAATCTTTAATTGATGGAGAGAAGTATTGATCGAAAACTAGATCAATTCGCGAAGCTTTTGTAGCAGTTAATGTTGACATAATTTGTTTTGATATATTTCCGAATGTTTTTGGAACATTTTGCATGGTATGTATTAAATAAAATCCATCAACAACAATAATATCGAAGCGTGGAGGTGTATTTGGCTTGTTTATAATTTTTTCCAGAACGGTAACTATTGCAGATTTTTGAGTTTTATGTATAGATCCATCCATATGGCACAAAGACATCGGAATCAGTGTAATCGGATAAGATAGAACTTTTTCTAAATCAACTTTTAGATCTATTGATAGTGCAAGCAATCGTCCAAATAAATTGCGTTGAACACGTATTTCTTCGACTTTATCACCAACTCGTGCTTTTTGCTTGATCGTTTCAGCCGAAAAATTCATGATTTTAACTCTTTTTATTGATGCTTCAAATCTCGCGCTGTCAGTGGTACATTCCTCTATAAATTCTTCTCTCATTTTGTTGCCATTTACTCGGAAATTTAATAGGTAATTTTCAACATCATTAGAAGCAGCCTTTCCAGTTGCAATATTATAAAGAAAGTCTGGATTAAGTTCTGGATCAAACGGATTTAGAAATTTTTCAAAAGTATTTATAAACTTTTCAAGCTGCTTGGCATTTTTCTTTATTGCATGAGATTCTAGATCTGCAGTGATGTCGTTCGAACCATTTAATCTAGTAACATCGAATGTATGAGATATCACCGATGTTCTAATATCGTGACTTTTAGCCCAACGTTGTCGAGCTGAAATGGAGTTAGTGAAATGGATCACACCTGTCAACCTTCTCCCTGCGTCAGCATTTATTGTCTGCTCAAGTGTCAAGTCTGTTGGTTGTCTTGAGAAAGACTTACTAGTCCGTTGAATACCAAGGTATCCAGCATTCATAGCTCTTTCTAAGTCTGGATGAGTTTCATTTAATTTTAGTAAATTATCATGATATTTTAGTAACCATCGAGCATAATTCGGTTGATTGGTTACAAAAAATAAACTTGAAATTTTTGGCAATATGTATTTAAATAATTGAAAATCACCCGATCTAATACTGCGACTCAATAAACGATAATAATTGACCAGATCAATATAAATCATGTAAAATTGAGCAGTTTTACCGAACACTCCTCTTTCACATCGGTCCTTGTGTGCGCTATATGTGTTAATAATTTTCAAAAATTCTTTATTTTCAAGTATTTTAGCGCTAGGCTCTTCATTTATTTTCATTAATTCTGTGTGCGTGTTATTGTCTATTGAAAGTCCTGATTTCTTCAGAAAGAATTCAAAATATAATATTTCAAGTCCTACTGCCATGAGTGGATGCAAACGTTTGCATCTGTTGAAATGTTTTCCTTGAAGAAATCCGTCAACAGATCCATTAGCAATAATTTCACTGTCGACAGAAATTGTCATTAAACCACTGCCGCTTATAAACTTTCCAATTGCTTTGAAGAGAGCTAACATAATGTGAAATGGTCCAAGATGTATGAATAAATTATCATATAATGGTTTCTCAATTGATTGTATTTGGAGGGCTACTTTAGCAATGGCTAAATCATACGTGACTTCTATGTATGTTTGATTTAGTTCTTCGGCGATCTTTTGACTAATTTTCATTGTTTCAATGACAACAGATGGATTTGTTGGCGATTCATTAATAGGTGTTAAATAAGCAATTTTTTGCCTAGAAGTATTGATGTCTTTAACTACTTTATGGTTAAAACCAACCCACATTGGGGTGTTTGGAATCTTCAAAGCGTGGCAAATCATCCATAGTGTATCCAATTTTCGTATTTGTGGCAAACTTTCAGCATGTATCTGACTTCGTTGATCACTGCATGATAATAAAGATTCTATCATTCGGGGTTTTTTTGTGTAAGGGAGCAAGTTTGGTATAAATGTGTCAAAAGCTCTTCTTCTTTTGGTAATTCTACCTGAACTAGTACTAGCTGTACTAATAGTACTTTCAGGTTCAT